TCTTTTTTTGCTGAGATGTCTCGCCCTCCATCCGAAGGGCTTCATCAGTCTGAAGAAAAACCAAACAAAACTGATTCTCCACCAACAGCTTACTCCAAAGTGGGAAAAAAAAACTGTTATGTTGGTGCTAAGATGGCCTCTGGGGCACGCCCTCTCCCTCGTCGACAGTCATGTCAAACTGGTTCAAAACACCAAAGTCCATGCTCAATAATCCAGGTATAAAATCCAACACTGTTCAGTCAGGTCATCTGGATTGTTTCCTTTTTGCGCTGAGATGTTTCGCTCATCTCATATTCGCTCGTACTCATTCGAGTTCATATCTGACTGAACATTGTTGGATTTTATACCTGGATTATTGAGCATGGACTTTGTCCTAGTTACCTGTCTAAATACAGGTTGAATGAACACTGGTTAAGTACCTTGCATTGTAAATGTAAAGTGATGATATACTGCAGCAGTACTGCAGATTTTTAACACATGATTATATACAGTATATGATAATTATAATAAGTAACAAAACAAATCATGAGTTTTCTTTAAGTCCACAGGCTTTTTACTCTTCACAACAGATGAGAAATTGTATTTTGGCCTCAGCATCCACCTATTTCTGTGAAATGATTTATGAAACAATTTTTGGTGCCATTTTTGATCAAATCTGTAACCAATTACTAAATTTAGAATACATTCCTGTTGCATGAATACAATTTAATTGATTGACCATATGATTAGATAGGAATTGGGGGTGTTTACATCATGATACATGGAATTCACAAAAATAAAGAAAATAACATTAAATAAAATTGGAAAAGCTTTTAAATGAATTTACAAAAAGTAAACTGGATGTCATTGGGCCCAACAAATTATTGATCATTTCCTTGTCATACATAACGAGTAACAGAAAATCACTGCTTTTTAATGATGCATAAAGTCAGAACGTGTCATTTCAATTAGCATTATCGGGATTGTAAATGACAGATTGATCAAATTGTCCTATAGTGTATTTTCCATTTCACATCTTCATTTTGTTACGGCTCAGTTACCCATTGTTCCTCTAACAAATATAAAAATATGTAATTACAATCCAAATACAGTAAACAACTGTAACTTTTAAAAGGGAATGGGTAAACAGGATGCCAGGAGCAGTGCATCAAATGCAGAAAGGCATCAAACACAGAAGGATCAAATAAAGTGCAAGGCGTTCATAGAGTCATTTACAGTATGGAGTCGTTCGTATAGGACCAGCTGACAGTAGAGCCCAACAAAACAACTGTGCCTTGCTGGCTGTCAGCTCATCTTATTATAGCAGGTTAGCTAAAATACCCTTGGGCAAACAAACAGCATTTCTAGGCTTTAATAGCCTAAACAAGGCATGCAACTAACAAAGGAGTCATCCACTCTTCTCATTCTCACCCCCTTTCATATCACACTTTTCCTTTTTCAACTGCTAGCATCATCTGGCTGCCCTTAACCAAAGAGCCAAACATTCCTTTTAAGCACTGACTACTTTGTTAACTGATGACCACAGGGCCAGTTATTGATCCTCTTCTTCTCTCTCAGTAAACCTTGCTGATAAAAACCCCCTCACTCTTCTCTCAGGGCTCGGCTGTATGTGGCCACAGTTCGCTACAATAATAACTTGCATATTGTAGCATCCACATGAATCAGATCTCAGTGGTTTCGATTAAGGCTAAGCTAACTCAAACACATCGCCAGTCTAGGACGTGGATCTATTTATGAACGAGGAGTGTAGGTGGTAGTGTTCTTCACTTCTCCCCCTTCGTTCTCTTTAAAAGGTTGTCTCATTTTGGTTGACTTATCGGTTCAAGTGAAAACTTTGCAGTTGTGCTGATCTCTGAGAGGCCCTGCGGGGAATCAGGAGACCCCTGGTGATCTGCTGTTTAGCAGCAGCAGTGGTCGAACTCTTCCATTTTCGTTGTGCTGGAAGGAAAGGCAGAAGAGGACGGAGCTAGATGGTTCTACTTGTTCAAACGCGTACTTCTGATTGGGCTTTCACTTGCTGCCCTGATAAAGATAAACCATCAGGCTATTTTCTGGATTTGTCCTCCTGAAGGGAAAAAACGTTTAAGACAACCATCCTCTGAGTTAGTGTTTGCATATCAAATCGGTGCAACAACTTGTTTTCCACGCACTGAATGAACAGTTGGTGTAAAGTAAAACGTGGCTTTTAACCAGGAACTTGAACGTCGATCTAAGCGTAGGATCTAGTCATGACTGGCACTGCTTTTACACAGTGATGAGCAAAGAGACGGTGAAAAAGATACCGGGAGCTAGAAAAAGATGAAAACAGTTAACATGGAGAAATGGAAGCGAATAGAAAGAGAAAATGTGACAAATGACACAAAAAAGAAAGACACTGAACACTGAGACCAAAAAAAAAATAAAAATAAATTATGAATGACGAACAGGTTGGCAAAACAAGACAAAAACAAAACCGGATGAAAAAACAAAAAACAAAAAAAGAAATGGGGAATCAATTCTTCCTAGAACAGGGGGACTAAAGCAAAAGTGCAGGGCTAATTAGTTTCTGATATTTGGACTTTCATTTGGCTAAAAGGTCAGCTAACTTTAAAGGTCATGCTGCCGTGCATCGTCCAGGAAAACACTAAAAAGTACACAGAGAGGAACACAATCGCACACTAGAATAAATTACAGTGGTGCACACCGCATGCTGATAACGGCACATTGGATATGCTCACTCGTTTCATGTTCTGGTCAGTAAAAGGACTCGGGTCATTACTCTATCTAAGGACTTTTATTACAGTTACTACATCCACTGCAAATTACTCTTGACTTTATTCAAATGTGAATCAAGATAATCTCAGAGTGCGTGTGTGTGTGTGCGACCAATCCTGGCAGTGCTGGAGGGATTCTGCTGAATTTATTGCCTGCAATCCTAAGCACATTTCTTCCTTTCTGTTTGCATTTTTATGTAGATTACAGCTGTCTTAATAAAAACTACAGAGCGTAATCAGCATTTCAGAGTTTATAGATAGCAAAGTGTGGATGAAATGTGAAAGTAGGTCTGCCGTGCACCAGATGTAGCTGTTTTTCCAAACATATCAGATTAGAAGCGTATGCAGCGATTAAATAAGTTATGAAACAGGAGCATATTTTGCATTTATTGTTCTCCACTTCATTATAACCTGTTGGCTTATATAAAATCACTGGAGCTTTATAAAATCTGATTAATAAATGTTCTCACTTGTTTCATTCGGATAAACTTGATCTCACTGTTTTTTTATGATCATAAAAAATCATCTAATAGCTAAGTTTGTTTTGTTTACAGATTATTACATTGATGGAGAAGAACTAAACCCCAAACTAAAGTCAATTTACTTAATTTAACTGTTCTCTTGCCAAAAAATGCTGCTTTCATTTGTTGCTACGCTTCAAAGTTTATGTTTTAGTTATTCAGACCATACAGTAAAGAGGATTTGGTTGAATGTTTATATGTTTTATATATACAATACAATACACCCCTTGCATGCCACACTGGACTCTTACCGCAGCACCTTCAGTCGTAGACTAGAGGATGACACGGGAGTAGATTTTCACTCCTGTCCTGTCCTGGTCCCACACAAAAAATCCTGTCCCATCCCAATCCTGGCAACATGACTCCTGCTCCCATTCAGAATGACTCCCACTCTTGTACAGCTCCCTTTTTTTTTTTTTCAATTTCCAATTTGATTTAATCTTCTACCCATTCCTTTTTCTATTAATTTGTCTTCTGCAGATTTACTTCAAAAGATATGACAAAAGGAGCAGTTCATCTGTGGTGAAATAGGGAGGAATTTATTGCCTTAATCCAAACAAACACCTTCACTAAAGGGCACAAAACAAATAATACATGGCCTGTAGTCCCTATAAAAGAGGGTTGTAAGCTCAATAATCCAGGTAGACGAGAATAAAAATGGTTAAATCCTGTCATCCGGACCAGTTTCTTAATATGAAAATGTGAAATGTGTGGTTCCTATAGTTCTACGGAGGATCATCTGTTGAGTCCCTGCTTCTAGCTCTTTTGAAGGTCAGTTGCAGTAAAACAAAAAAAAAAAAACAGTATATGGGTCACACCATGAACCCAAACATAACATATAAAGTTGCGTTTTACTAATTTATGTAACAATTGTTTCCTTTAAACAGTGGCATTACTGTCATGTTTCAAATTGCTTAAACAAAAAAAAATAAAATAAAAAGATGTAACAAGCAAGAGAACTCAACAAATAAAAATGCTTAAAGGCATTCTTATACATTGGATGACGTCCTCAAGAAGTTCACAATCTATGTGGTTGAGGTAACGAGCTCGTTTCGGTGAAGCAGCATGTCAAGCAGCTTACCAGACTTCAGAGCATCATTTACAGACTGGAGCATTGCAAGTCGTGTTCCAGAGTGAAGGTTTATTGAAAGAAAACTACAAAATAGCAGCACCTGTCCAAAGTTTTTTTTTACATTTTTAATTTTATTTTATTTGTTGTCCTATTGGTTGGTTCCCACTCCTGTCTGTTCCCGTTATCTTTTCGTCCTGTCCCATCCCAATCATGTGAATTATTAAAGTTGACTCCTGTCCTGCCGGAGTCCTGCCGGAGTCCTGCCGGAGTCCTGCGGGAATCCCGTGACCTGCAGGACTCCTGAAAAATGTCATCCTCTATCGTAGACTGAGACCACCGAGGTGCTCCACAGAACAGGAAGTCCATCCTCCCTGTGGCTATCAAAATTTTCAACTTCTCCCCCTTTTCTACACATAGGACAATAAAATTAAACTTGCACTACAATAAACACTTTACTGTTTCTGTCTGCACCTGACCTGTTTTAGAACTTAATTGTTGGAATTTTTAAAAGTCTGTTATTTTTTATATCTTGTGTGATTCCTTGTGTACGTTCCTTTGTATTGAAACTCTGGCACAACAATTTCCTGCAGGATCAATAAAGTTCTTATCTTATCTTATCTATATCTGGTCTGAAAGTACAATCTGATCACTTACCTTCCTCCAACTTTTTCCGGGCCTCCTCTTCTCTCTTGGCTACTTTGGCCTTCAGAGCCTCGTCTGTTTTAGCTGAAACGAAAAGCAGCAAAAACAGCACAGTTACGATTAACGTAATTTCTTATCATGATTCTATTATCCAAAATATCAGAACTTTAGGTGTAAATGGAAGCACTGGATGATTTAATTCTTATCAATGAATCACATTTATGTAATATGACTGAACAGCTGCGCTAAAATAAAAATAATCGCTTTGTTTTTCAAGGGATACTGCAGATTGTTTAAATAAACAATTATTTAAAACATTTTCAGGCAAAGTTTTGTGATCAGAAAAAAATATATTGTAGAGAATGAAGCAAATTCTCAGGGGATTCGTTTTTACATAAACAGTAGCGGTAAAAATCCACAAAAAACATACATGATGCCTTCCCCTCCTCTTGCTACCAGGCAGCAACCCTCGCTGCTTTTCATTTATATCCCTGTAAAGTCAGCGTTTCTTCCTGAGAAATGTTTATCGTCTCCGTATAATGAAAAGCTTAAGAGAAAGTGAGGCAGCGGGAGTAAACACTCGTCAGGGCATTTTAAGCGTGTCTCATCATGAACCGTGTTGTCTCAGCTCCCCTTTTCCTCCACCTTTTTTCCCCCTGAATAATCAAGACGTTAAGCCACATTAAAAAATATAATACCGTGTATGGCAGGACTATCAATACTGCCTCTAAATTAATTACATTTCCGTTGCGGCGCATCATTTATTTTGCAGTGTTAGGGCCTCAGCGGAGCCATTCGCCTTTATTGCTATCTCACTTGGTTGATGAGTGAGCTATGTAAAATTGAGTCTCCAATATCATTACACTTAATGAGTTTAAACTTTGAGAAGAAGAAAAAACGGGGATCGAGGACTGAAGGGAATGAGATGACGAGTAAGAAAGGGTGGGGAAAGGAGGACGAGAATGAGAGCGCTGCACAGTTTTGGTTAATGCGATATAAGAGTGGGTGTAAGTGTGAGTGCTTACAGCCTGTTTGTGTTGCCTGCACAGATGTGGGTGACCAAATGGGGTTTATTGCACCACTCATGATGCCTGCAGACACACGTGTTCTGGACACACACGTATGGTGTCAGAAAACAAAATACCAACGTATGCATTTGTGTGTGTGTGTGCATGTGGATGCAAAGGGCCATGGGTTTAGTGACCGACTGTGCTGGAGGTTTTGTTCAGTAATTGCCGTAGACAAAGAAGTCGTCACACTGCTGTTACGGCTGGTTAAGTCTAGAGGTTCTGCATCTTTACCAACAATGACTTTACATGGATGACTGAACAGTCAACCACCCTCAGCGAAGGGGGGTGGCTAATGTGTGTGCGTGAAACAGAGAGTGAGAGTGTATATGGCCTAAAACCGTCATTAACTAATAAGTTTGTGTTTGTTTGGCTGTGTTCAAACATCACAATCCTGCATGTCTTCACAGCTACAATCATGTTTTATCCTTTGTACGCAGATGTATGTATTGGAATATCTGGATGTGTGTGTGCGTGTGAACTCCTAGTCTTCAGGTCTTTCGATGCTCGGGGCTACCGTGAGACAGGTAGGAGACAGAGCTGTGTTGAAGGTTTGATGGAGCAGGAGGAGGGGCAACAAGGAAAAAGAAGACAAGCAGATAGATGTGGGCCATGAAGGATAAAGGAGGAGCTAAAACAGCAGGGGAAACAGACAAACAAGCAACAGCATCGCCCGAGCAAACAAACATTTTCTTCACAAACAAGAGGAGCGATTTGTCGCCTTTTTTCCCCTTCGCATGTTTATCCTCTACCTTCCAACAGGTTCTTTTATCTTCTCATAAGCTTTTCTCCTTCTGTTTTGCCCTATCCATTCCCTTTATATATATTTTTTTTTTCCCTTCCTTCTCTTGCTCATCTCTCCAGTACACCGTGCCTGAGGGCGATAGTAGCAAATCAAACTGTTTATCCATCTCTCATCAGTGCGCTGCCTCCCGGGGCTCCGGCCCCCTCAAAACAATGAAAGTAAGCCTGAGCGCTGAGCCAGGGATGTGATTTAATTACATCAATAAGGAGCACTGCTTTAACAAAAAAGATTAACTTCAAAAAAATAATAATAATAAAAACACAGGCGAGATACTTTGCGGTGCTTTCATGAAAAGCCTGTTAACATTTCAGTGGAAACAATCAACAGCTGTACTTTGTGAGCAGAAGCTGCTTATTGGAAGTATACTTCTTAGCCACTTCAGTTCATTGTGAGATAATTCTGTGATGGACTTTTATTAAAGCGGGTAATAAACGGCCGGGTGTTAGCGAGAGGAGAGGCCTTTCACTTCATTTAGACTTTGTTCGGTTTTGGCTGCAGGGGTGGAGAGAAATAGGAGGGATGGCAGTGGGAAGAGGTGGAGAGCGTCAGTGAAATCACATTGTGATTATGAGTGTAATTGCAGCTCAGGGGCCCAGGGGCCGTGTAGCTCTGATGGCGCTGGAAGATGTTTTGCGCACAGCAACAGAGAGAAGGAAAAGTGAGAATGAGAGGAAGTGGGACGAGTGGGAGGCAGAGGCAGGCTGCCAGGACGGATCCGTTTTTTATTTTATTTTATCCATCACAGAATCTTCTCTTCTAACAGTTCTCTACTTCCTTCTTCACCTCTTCCACCAACGTTTTCCCCTCACTTCTCCTCTTTTCTCCTGTTCTCCTCTGTCCTCCTCCCTTGGCAGGATTAGCTGGGTCTCGTTAGAGGGAAAATGTAATAATGCTCTCACCAGGTGGAATCGGGCCCGCTCCATTATCAGCCGGGAGATGGATGGGCCATGTAGGGCCGGCGGGGGCCAAGCGCGCACGCAATTTAGATTCAATAAACTGGCAAAGCAAGACCCCAAATCTGATTCATCTCTTACACGCCGCCAATGCTTGCTGCTACGACGCTGATTCCCTATTACCGCTCAGAGAAGGACTATTCATTGGATGTAAGGTACGGCAGTCGGAGAAGCCTGTCGGGCCCCCAGGATGGCAGCAGAACAGATACAGCAGAGGGTTAATACGTTTACAAACAGATAAGCAATTAAATCTAAGGCTGCGGTGAGTTATAGAGTTATTAAGGAGGGATGTGAGGTAGTAGTGGTTATATAATGCAAAACTGAGGCAGTTCAGGCCTCGGGCTGGGCACAGTACATATTAGAAGTGAGAAAGGCTATCACATTATAGAACAAGATAAAAGAACGTATCGAAGTTTGTCCAGGTTATTCAATAAACTCAATACATTTATAAACTTGCAGGGCATGTCAGCAGTTATCAAACTGAGAATTTACGAGCAAGTTTGTTTAAAAAAATTGTCTATTCATTGTGACTCCATACCTGGCTACAGCTGCAGATGACACCGCACATGAGCGCATTTTAAGAACGTGTGCAAAAGGCCACGTTGGGTGTCGTCCTGTACAGCCGCCAATCAAAGTGAATCTGAATGTCAGCGGGAGAGGAGGCATGAAAAATCAGCCTCCCACCCAACGACAAACAGAATATTAGAGACAGAGCTGCTACATCGGAAAACTGTCCCCTCCAATCAGCTGAGCACTTTACAGTAAAGCTCGGCAGCCAGGCCTCCAACCAACACTGAATACCAGAGAATAACAATAAGATATAAGATACACACAGATGAAAGGATGAAATACAACACTAAATTAAATAAATGGGGTTGTTTGAAAGAGAGGTGATCAAAAAAACTTGACATTTAACAGATTAGATCAGCTATAAATTGGTCAAAATTTTACAGAAAACAGAAGCAAAGACATACTGTATTATCACTTTTTATTTGTTCTACATGCCTTAAAGTAATTAAAAAAATTACATAATTTATTATCAAAGAAAGTAAAAAAATGCTAACATTTTAACTTATTCCAAAATGAGGCATATATTACTATCTCATAATATTATAGCTTTATTTTTAACCCTAAAGCTGCAGATGATACAGCACAATGATGAGCAGAGCTGATTTCATTCAGATTTAACCTCAAAACCTTTTGATTTGGCTTCAAAAGCATCCAAAACACAGTTCATTTTTAACATATCTACATCTGTTAAAACAGAAAGCTAGTTCCTGTGAGAAATATCTGAAAATACAGAAGAAACAAGTGCAGGTGGAAAGGTTAAATGGATAAAAGGAAAAAGTAGTACCCTGAATCACCACTAGGTGGCACGCTACACAGACGGCACAAGCTAGAGAAGGCAGCCACGTTTAGATTGTGTTGGTGTGTAGATAGATACATGTGGCCATGTGGATCTGTGCAAAGCTGCTTCAAACGTGCACACACCATGCAACTAAGAATAATTGGATTTGGGACAAAAGCTTACATAGGAAGAAACATAAGGATTTAAATGTTAGGCGCATGACTGTCTAAACTTCAGTGAAGGTGGAACATGTAATGTAGCAGCAGATAATGACATTTTGCAACTTGTGTGGAATCTAAAAGTCTCCAGACAAATAATAATAATAATAAAAATAAAAAAAAATCAAATGACAACTTTTTTTTAAATGACTTGGAGAAATAAATTGCCTGCATTTTCGTTTTCAGACTCCAAGTTGAATTAATGACACACATGAAATATTCAAACTAAACAATTAGAGAGAGATATCTTACAAAATCAATCAATTATTAATTTGAAATAGTCTGAAAAGCTCTATATATTGTGATGCTGTGGGGTGCATCAATTAGGTTCTCTACTGTTTAGGTGTAACGGATGCTTCAGAGTCTAATTAATGTCTAAATGAAGGAGGCGGACGCACATGCTGAGAACAGCCCCTGAGTTGGAACACAGTCTGATCTCTGCACTGTGAAGTACATGGAGTCGGAGTGACACTTAGAGTTGTTTATTTTAATGTGTGGAGAAATTATATTTACCCCTACTTATACATTGAAAAATGATCTGAAATGACAGAACTTGGCTCATGTAACATTTGTTTTGTTTAAATTCAAAGCAGGCACTCAAATCCTTATCACCTGGCCTACAGATATGCACTGTCATTCCAAGCTGAGATGACGTCAAAATACAAGAGGACAAAGAAATGGTCTGCAGTAGCT